CACAAACAGGGGGACTTGGCCCTTTAAAACCTGTTTTAGAAAAGGCTGTTGAGCTGGGAGGGAAGGGGTGAGGGGGAGGGAGAGAACACAGGGCACCCATCAGGAAAGCGGGAACCTGATCATATGTGATGGTTGCTGGATTAGGTAACAGCTCCGCTGGTTGAAATTGGATCTTGGAGGATGAGTGTTAACATCTCTGGTGTCCTGGCGAAAGGTTCATTTGAGCCTTGCATGGTGCCGCAGAGATAAAAAGGAGCTTTTAAATAATCATTTTGTCTTCTACTCGCCAGAGTGCTGGCTTCAAGCAATAAATAGGTAGCATCAGTTCTGCTTAGACATATCACTCTTTTCATTTATTTATTTAATGTCAGTGGGTTTTTTTTTAAACTGACTAGCTGAAGAGTTTCCATATCAGAGAATCCCAACACCCATTTTGTAGTGGTATGTTAGAATTCTCCTTGTTCTGGGTAGAAATATGAGCATACGAGGTTGTTTATCGGTCCGCCCCACCCCCTCCAAGGATACACACACAGTCCACAGAACCAGAATTTTCTATGTAAAACAGTGGAAGATGAAGGCTTTCTTTGAAGGTTTCTTCTTGTTTATTTCATTTTTTAAAATTCTTTTTTTGGTTTTTGCGCTTCCTCTAACATTTTCTATTTTCATAGTTTGAGTATAGTATAAAGGGTGTAATTTGGAGGGGACTGGTAGGCTTCTTTATTTTGTCTTTCTTCATCTTTTTATTCTTTTATTTTCTGTAAATATCTGGTTTGGAACCTATTTTTGCATCCTGAACCCTACGTGTAAATACAAGCAACACTGTACACTGTATTTCTATCATACTAGTCTCTAGTTGGCCATGTTTAGATACCAGTTCTACTAAGTCTTTGTGAATCCAAATTTCTTTTTAAAGAGTATTTGCTTACAGGATTCATAGAGTGATATAAAAGCTAAGTAAAATGCTATCATTTTAATCATTTCTCTCCAATTAAATGTAACCCTTCATACCTGAGAAATAAATAAAAGAGTTACTACGCTTTAAGTGTTGTGACCCTCCTGAAACTTCCGTGGTGGGTAGAGGCTTGCAGGGTATCAGTGGCCCTCGTCAGCCTTAGCAATTTCATTTCTGATTTTATTTAACACCAGTTAAATTTCAAGGCCCATGTGAATTAGGTAGGCGAGTAGAGTTTGTGTGGAAGCATTTATGCTTCGTGTTGATTATTTTTTTAAAATGGAGTACAGACATGAAACTAAGCAAGAGAAAGAGAAAACAGTCTCCAAGGTGAATACGAGGCACATGGGAAATATTAGTAGGGATGACCTCACGGTCATCTCTAGCTCCTGGAGGAACTAGGGCTGGAGCCATGGTCTATGGCTGCCTGTCCTTCTACCTCCCCCATCTCTCCTAACCGCCTGAGTTTTGCTGGAGGAATAAGCCGATGGAGTGAACGAGGCAGGCTGGGGCACCCTTGCTACCAGAGGAGGTGGGGTACTTGATGTCACCTTGAGAGACAGTGCCTGCACTAGCCCTGGTAAGGAGAGTCCTGGCTGTTGAGGTGACGACCTTTTCTGTTGCTTTGCAGTTGTCATTGAGGCCAGAAGCTGTCCTGAGATCTTTCAGGGTTAGGCCATGTGCAAGAGGGAGAAACCTGGGACCCACAGAGGCTTGAGCCCAGCTGCAGTATCCAGCCTCAGCTTTCGTGGGGAATGTTCCCATCGGCTGTGGGTGCCCAAGGCCTCTTCTGAAGGGAGTCTGTTGGACAGGAGACTCAGTAGAGTGGATGAGAGAGGGGAATTTTGCCCAGCACAATGTTTGAATAATCAAACCAAAGTAAAGCAATATATTTTTTTATTACTGGCTCAGAAGTGATACTCTTTTTTCTCTACTTTGTAAGTAGCCCATAAATATCTTTATTGATAAAGCAATTAAGATTTATCAAATAAAGGAAAACACCCCGGAACCCCACTCCTGCAGGGATGAGGAGGGAGGGGCTGCCAGGCTCGGTGCCAGCTGGGTGCTTGGATGGTCAGATTCTGTCCAGTACCTTGAGGACCTGGTATTCAGAGGACACTCACAGCATCCCATTACTTTCTTAAGGAAACCTACGTTCGTGGTGATATGTTCTTCAGAGGACTTCGGAGATTTGAGCAAATAAATTTAAGAAGCAGAATAACGTGACTAAATCTTCATTATTCAAGGATCAGCCAAAGAGGCAGTTTCCCGTTCAGTCTCCTGAGCCTACAAAAAAAGGATTTCATTGAGGAAAAAAGTCCACAAAATAAACCTCAGTGAGCCTCTAACCTTGGGCCATCACCACTATAGCAATTTTATTTTTGTGCAGCAGAATATTAAAAATTCAGATTTGGAAAAGGAGGATTGTGTCCCGGTACTGGAGTTTCTCACCTGCCCCTCTGTCCTCTCTGCTCCTAACACGGGCCACATGGCTCGGTGTCCCACTTCAGGAGAAGAGAACCATGCTGTCGTTGTCATTTTGGCACTGGAACCGGGATATCCTTCTGAACAACTTTCAAGGTTGGTGCTTGTTCTCCCAGGAAGGCGCACGTGGGCGCAGCCAGCAGTCATGCTGCTATGAGACATGATGGAATGCCTCGCACATCCGTCTAGGCATCCCCTCTGACGGCACTCATGTCACCTTCCTTGGCAAGGCCCGCAGGGGGCTGCCTTGCTGGTCATGGGAGAACACTGGAACCGGCACCGCCCCCTGGGAGCTCACTAGATGCTCCCTGCCCTGAAACAGCTCTCAATTCTGCTCTGCATATCCACTGGGGACTTAAGCCCTGCCACCCCGTCCCCAAGATGTAACCAAACACTGAACCCTTTTCCCTCTCCCTTAACTGCATCCCTTCTTCCCTACCCTACCCGACAATTCTTTTCAATTTTATAAAAATTGAAAACACTTTTTATGTTCCCTCTTAACAAAGACTCGACTGCTGACAACTAAACTGGATTTAGATGAGTGATTTATTTTATGGCAGGTTGTCTGAAGGGTAGTAAAAAAAGACTGTCTAGCTCTTCTGCTGATTTACTAAATCACTCGATCTCTTTCAGTCCGAATCACCACCCCTGGTCCTGGGGTTTTGATCAAAAGCGGCCATCTCATTGACCTGGGCTCCATCCTCCCGAGCACTGGCGTCTCTGAGTCCCTTGAGACAGCTTGTCAAAAGGGCCTCGCCCTTGTTTTCGGCAGGACAGAGTCCTTATCATTTGGAACAGATAGATCTCAATTTTTGGAGCTAGACATCCCTACTCCAAGGTCAACTGGACTTCTTGCTGTATTAAACTTCTTGCCACTCTCTGCTGGCCCAGAAGAAAGGTCTTAAGATTTTAGTTCAGATTTACTGGATTTATCTACCTTAGGTTATTTTGGAAATGAAAATTCTGGCTGATCGAATATTATAAAGAAAGCCAATGAATGTAAAACCACAAACTCACCGAATTTAAAATTAGAAATAAAGAAGGAAATGCTTTTCTTTAAATTTGGTAGTTTGCAGATAAAAGTAAACTTTATATTCTGTTAAAGTTAATTTGTTGTAGCTTTACATTTTTTATTGTGGTAAAATACACATAAAACATAACATTTATCATTTTAACTACTTTTAAGTGGCATTAAGTACATTCATACTATTGTACAATCATGGCCATCATCCATCTCAAAAACTTTTTCCTCCCCAAGATGAAACTGCACCCATTAAACAATGGCTCCCTACTTCCCCTTCTCGAGCCTCTGGTACTCACTGTTCTACTTTCGGCCTCTATAAATTTGATTATTCTAGCCAAGACAACCTTGAAAAAGAAGAATAAAGTTGGAGGACTCACATGTCACAATTCCAAAATTGACTGCGAATCTACAGCAATGAAGACTGTGGTACTGGCAGAAAGGTAGACGTATACCAACGGAATAGAATCTGAGAGTTCAGAAATGTAACCTCACATTTGTGATCAGTTGATTTTCTGGAGTGGTGCCAGAATCATTTGGTGGGAGACAGGGTCTTCAACAAATGACAGTTGGTGACTGGATATCCACAGCAAAAGAATGAAATCGAACCCCTGACTTAGACCATATTAAAAATTAACTCAAAATGAGCCAAAGAGCTAACACTATTAAACTTTGAGAAGAAAACATAGGTGAAAATCTTTGTGACCATGACTTAGACAATGGGATATCTCTCCATTTATGTATATATTTATTTATTTGCTTATGTTGCATCCAGGTCTCACTCTGTCATCCAGACTAGAATGCAGTGGCATGATCATGGCTCACTGCAGCCTCTATCTTCTGGGCTTAGGTGATCCTTCTGCCTCCGCCTCCCGAATTAGTACTACCATGCCTGGCTAGTTTTCTTTCTTTCTTTCTTTCTTTCTTTCTTTCTTTCTTTCTTTCTTTCTTTCTTTCTTTCTTTTCTTTTCTTTTCTTTTCTTTTCTTTTCTTTTTGTAGAGACGAAGTCTCACTATGTTGTGTAGAATGATCTTGAACCCCTGGGCCCAAGCAATCCTCCAGCTTCAGCCTCCCAAAGTGCCAGGATTACAGGTGTGAGCCTCTGTGTCTGGCATCTTTAGGTTTTGCTTAATTTCTCTCAGCAGTATTTTGTAGTTTTCAGTACAGATTTTTCATGTCTTTTGCCAGATTTCTAAACATTTCATATTTTAAGGTACTGTAAATGGTATTGTCTTTTTATTTCAACTTCTAATCTCTTGTTGCTAGTGTATAGAAATAAAATTGGTTTCTTTATATTTGAAAAATAAATAAATGACTGTGATTATTCCAGGCACCTCACACAAGTGAGTATAATATTGGAACACAGCGAACATCTCCTTGCGTTTTCCCCCACTCTCAGTTTCTCTCTTTTCCCAGTCCTTCCTCTGTTCCCCAGCACCACGTTGCAAGTGATTTGGAGGCTTATGGAGCCCAGAGGCACAACTACTTGCTGTTTCTGTTTTGGCAGTTCTCCCTCGAGTGACTGATAACACTGCCCGCCCCTCTGTCTTTCCCTGCAGTTTTGAGTATCCGGGGAGCCCAAGAAGAGGAGCCCACAGACCCCCAGCTGATGCGCCTGGACAACATGCTGTTAGCGGAGGGCGTGGCGGGGCCCGAGAAGGGCGGAGGATCGGCGGCAGCGGCTGCAGCGGCTGCGGCCTCTGGAGGGGCGGGTTCAGACAACTCAGTGGAGCATTCCGATTACAGAGCCAAACTCTCACAGATCAGACAGATCTACCACACGGAGCTGGAGAAATACGAGCAGGTAACCGCTGCCATCAGGGTCTCACACCCAGGCCCATTAGGATAGGGTGGGGGAGACATATGACTCTGGGGCTTGCAGGGGCCAGAGGCCAGCCTTTCTAGATGTTGGCATTGGTTCTTATATCAGCATCTCCTGCCTAACTACAGGGCCCCTGGCCAAGTCCTGGTCTCAACTAATAAAAACTTGGGCGTCCTGCTGGGTGTGGTGGCTTATGTTGTAATCCCAGCATTTTGGGAGGCCAAGGCAGGAGGATCGCTTGAGCCTTGGAGTTCAAGACCGGCCTAGGCAATGAGTGAGACCTTGGCTCAACAACAACAACAAAAAATTAGCTGGGCATGGTGGCATGCATCTGTTGTATCTGTATTCCCAGCTACTCGAGAGGCTGAGGTGGAAGGATTACTTGAGCCCAGGAAGTCAAGGCTGTGGTGAGCCAAGAGTGTGCCACTCTAGCCTGGATGACAGTGAGATTCCCAAAATACTCAATGGAGATTAAGGCATCAAAAAATGAGTGCCGTTGTAAATGATGATTTACAAGAAACATAAATCATCAATATAAGGGACATCCCATACCCAGAACTATGGAACATTTGCTCATGATATGCAGCACTGGGTCTGGTCTGGGTGTTGGAGGTGGTAAGCAGAGTCACCACTCTGACCTGCAGGGGGATGGGAGGTTTTCTCTGGCCGACTGTGCTCCTGTTCAGAAGGATGCCTCTTCTTCTGGATGCTTAGAGAATCCTATGGGAAAGAATGTCAAAATTGAGCCTTAAAGTCCCTGCTTTACCCAGACTCAGTTCACAGAACGTCAAATCAACATGTGCCCCTTTTTGTATAACACAAGGTATGCAGTATGCAACACACCTTCCTCTATGAAAAGAGTAGAGGATCTCAGGAGACCCTAGAACCAGACATACTGGGACTCTGATCCTGGCACTCCACTGAGGTCTGTGGGACCCATACTCTACCCAAAGGCTGATGATGGTATATGGCAGAGATCTGTGGACTTGGAGTCAAGGATATGAAGAACCATACAAGTGAAAAGGCTTTTAACTACAAAACAGCATAAACGTCAGGTGCCCTAATTGTAGCAGAAGTTCCCCCACACACGCACATTTATGTACCAACACTGCTTGCCCTTGTTAGTCTGAGCGAGGCCACTTTATTAGGAGGCCTTGAATAGCAGCCTTCTGTCCCCTCATTCAGCTGACAAATAAGATTGTTGTCACCTCTTTAGATGCAACATCTTTAGATGTCCTGAAGTTCTACCTCAACTTACTTTCAGTGAACTATGGTTTTCTTTCTTTCTTTCTTTCTTCCTTTCTTTCTTCCTTCCTTCCTTCCTTCCTTCCTTCCTTCCTTCCTTCCTTCCTTCCTTCCTTCCTTCCTTCCTTCCTTCCTTCCATCA